GCTCACGGCCTTAACCCCTCCAAAATCCTCCCGGCGCTGCCGCCCGCCACTCCGCGAGGGGCTCTACCGGCACAACACCTTCCCGAGCCCCGCGTCCTCGGAGCCCCGTACCGCAGGCCCCCGCCGGGAGCAGCCCGCCCGCCGCGCAGCTTTTCCGCCGCCGCGCAGCCCGCGAGCGCTGCCCGCCGCCTCCCATGGCTGCACGGCAGCCCGGTACCGGGGACGCGCCCCCGCGGCCGGACGGGCTCCGGCACCCACGGACGACGCGAGTCCCGAGGCAGGCGATGCGAAGACCGCCGCGGAGCCTCCTCCTCCCGCGGCCCCACCACCACTGCCGCGCTCCGCCTCACCTCAGCGGCGCCGAGCGGCCGTGCCGCAGCACCCAGCACCGGGGCGGCAGCGCCTCCTGTCCGCCCTGCCTCCCTTCGGCGGCGGCGGCCCCCGCAGCCACCCCATCCCCGGCAGGAAGCGGCGCGCCTGGGCGGCGGAAGGGGCGGGGCGGTGCGGCGGGCTGCGCGTTCGCGTTCTGCGGTGTGATGCTGCCGGGTGGCGGTTCTGAGTGGCCGTTCCGAAACCCGGCGAGGTGCGGGATCAGCCACCGCGGGCGGTTGGTGGTGTGTTTCCTAGGGGATGCCCCACAGCCCATCTGAGAACAGCCGCAGAGAAGCAGGGGTTGTTGCTCATCGAGATGGCAGCAGAGCCTGTCCGAACTGTGGTGGGGGTACAGCATGCTCTATGGAAATACAGCGTCGTTTGTTTTTCCCAGTACTGGCTATTTGGCCATCATTTGGAGTACCTTGGTACGACCTGGATGGGGGAAAGCTGGGGGAGTTTCTCACGCTGAACAGAATTGTCTCTAATTTTATTAAACTTATGGACACAGAGTTAACCGCACATCACTTTAAAAAACTGCAATAAAACAAAACCCACCGTCAACAAAAACGTGCATTGCCAGGGCAATACCCCTGTCCCTCATTCAAAGGTATGCATGTAGAAAAAAATAGCAGAGCCCTTATAAAGCTCTGTTTCCATATCACACCATTACAAAACATTCCTCTCTTCAGTTGTGCCATTATTCTTTTTGATGGCTGTAGAAAAAAAAAATACAAATCTGAATGCCAGCAGCAGGCTGATAGCACGCAGTCATCTGTCCAAGGTGATCCCCAGCACAGAGGCGAGCAGGACAAGTGGCTGATGGAACCTCCAGGCAACTCCGGTGCTCCACAGCCTATAAATAATACAAATGGAGGGGATTGTAGGGGGCAGACAAATTAGACCCAAGTGACTGCAGAAATACATTTATTTTGTCTATCAGCTGACATTTAGCTTTCAGCCTTTTGCAGCATCATCATGCAGTCTGAAGAACATTCAGAAATTTCTGGATTGATGTAATTATAGTGAAGTCCCATAGAAGTCTCCTGAATTGTTGCTCCCATTGAAATAAAAAACACCGGCGCCAGTGTCACTCCATTAAGTTAATGAGCTAAGCCTTTCAGAGAATTTAGTCTTGTTCTCTTTCTTCAGAGGAAAAAGGGATCTTTTGCAATCCTGATGCACATGCAACTACAGTGAAACAAACAAAGGAAATTTTGCATTTCAAAATGCTTCACAGCTACATCAAGTTGACGAGTCAATGGGCAGCCTGGTGCAGCTAGACAGGACTGTATGCTCAGTTGTAACGGAGTGTATCTATTCCACATAGATGAAACTGGACAGGCAGAATAGAAACCACCCTGCTCATTATTCATGCGCCAATGCTGGTTTGAAGGTGCTTATCTGAGCAGTCTGTTCCATCCAGCTTTTATATTTTACACCATACAAAGCATAGCTTCTCAAAGAAGTGCTGGAGTTAGAGGTGACCTTCCACTTTCTTTGCCAAGACCTGGTTGCTTCTGCAGGTAGTGCAGGAATTAAGGGCTGTTTCAGTCCTCACAATGGTCCCCTTTTTTCCTTCACCTGCATCAGATGAAAAACTGAAAAGTCCAAACATGCCAGTGACAAACTGTACTGCATAAAGGTATGATCTGGGAAATAAGCGAAAATGCAGCAGACCTGAAGATAACCTGTTAATAAGCAATTTTGCTTACTCCGTACCCAGCTCATTTGCAATAAGAAATGAAAAATTAGAAGCCTAAAGCTTCTTATCTCAGTTTACAAGACCAGCATGAACCTACAGCCATGCAACTCCCTGAATTCAGACTCCAGGTTTTAAAGTTGGAAAATGATCTCTGTGTGTACGTATATATTAAGTACACAGGACCCAAAGATATCAGCAACAGATGTTCATGCAGCAAGTCCCTGGTCAAGAGTGCTGTGTCAGCCATAAAAGTTGAAGAGAGAGATGTATGCAGGCTGGCCCTGCCTTGCAGGGATGACTCTGTGCTTGGCTGCTGGCCTGGTCTGCATCAGCCCTGTGGCATCCGCAGCAAAGGAGAGAGCCCTGCCCCATCTATCTGAAATAGTCACTGCCAGTGCCATTTTTCTTCCACTGAGTTTCAATGCCTAACTGATAGTTCCAAAATGACCAAATATCTGTTGAGCCACTGTACTTCAAAACTGATAACTACTTTTTTTTGCTAGCACTCGATGCTTTTTAAAAAGTGAATTATCTAGATATGTGCTTTATTTAGCAGAAATTTCCAATAGACCTCATTCTATCACTGTGAGTTATGTCACCCCATGCTATGTTGATCTCAGTTTGACAGGCAGTGCCAATGCCTATATGTCAGTCTGAGAATTTATGACAAATGATGTGCTATTGAAATTTTTAGAACTACTGCAGATTGCCAAGAAAAAAATCTTTAGAATATTTAATTATACTGGGTTCATCTTCAGATTGAAAATTATTTATTCAGTTTACACAGGTACATTGATCCAATATTCAGGATGATATTTAATCACAAAAAGAAAGGGAATTTTTATTGAAATTTCCCAACCAGTTCCGATTGCAATTTATTATGAGGAAAGGAAAAAGATGTACGAATGTAATGCTGTTTTTCTTTTCAAACAGTCTTTGCCATTAAATAATAGTGTTCACTTTCAGTCATTTGAAATAATCAATCTCCAATAAATGTCAAGACCATATGCAGGAAATGGAGGCCTCAAATGTAGAGAGAATGAACTGCTTAGGAAAATTCTCCTCAAGCAAAGAATACAGAAAAGAATAAGGAAGGACCTTTAACTAGAAGTGCTACTTGATCTACATCACTTTTTTCTTCTTTCTGGAGATCTCTTCTCTCTACAGACCAAATCTTGCCATATCATGTTTGTGATCTCAGTATGTGTATTGAAACACATCAAATCAGTTATGTGAACTTTCAAGCATCTGTTTTCTCTTTAACTTTCTTATTCACACCATGGAAGAAAAATGAACTGAATTGCTAAGTACTAATCAACTTATTTTTTAAAGCAGAAGATGAACTTTTCAGAGCAAAAGCCAAGAAAGTGAACACTATGTGCTAAAGCAGACAAAATTTGCCATGGATTACAGGCACATTAGTGTTGTAGAACACCAGAAAATCCTGTGTCACTTAGAATTGAACTAAATGTACCACAACTCAATTAGTTGAATTCTTCTTCAACAATTAACCATCCCAAAACACAAATCCTGAAAGCAGGCACAGGAGGGAGAGTAGTTGATCCTTTGAAAGTGGAGGTGGGTGTACCTATACAGCCAGGTTTGTTTATGCTAGCCAAGCTTCTGTGCTGATGCATTTTCACCGTAAATCTTTTTCTTCTTTCAAATAGGTGAAAAGATTCTGTTCCCAGTTTTCATGGGAGAGACAAAGTTGCCACAGGTTGGCATTAAGTTGGGTTGACAGCAACAGTTAAAATAGAAAAGTATCCATGAGCACCCTGGTTTTGACCAGCACATGTTTTCCTGGCAATGCCGTGCTGTGTGCTCATACAGCCCTTCTTGGCTGCTACCAAGATTCATGGTTGCCACCTCTTACATTATTAGCCAGGGAACGTTTGACCCTGATCACTGCACCAAGCACTACCTACAAAGTAATCACAAAGGCATAGTCCACCAATTAAAAGTATGCCTTCTTCAGGTGCTACTAATCATGCATTAATTTCAGCTGGAACAGAAGCTATTTTTAACATCACATATAATTGCAAATGTTTGGGTTAGAGTTGTCTGCTGTCCTAGCAGGCAGGAGGGTGTCTGAATGCTTGGTACCTTGGAAAGCCCCTGCTGCAGATAAAGCTAGCTTCTCTCTTATTGAGAGTCTTCATGCTTGTTGCTTTTTACATCCACCCTGAGTAGCTTTAAAAGGGCCACAAAGGAAGTAAAGCTGTGGAAAACCAAGGCTACCTAGGCAAAAGTTTACACCTGGAGGGAAAATCCCACCAAAACTTCTTCAACAGTGGAAGAGAGCAAGTGTATTGTAGTAACAGACTGGAGGAAGCAGTAACTGCAGTAGAAAAGAATAGACGTGTAACATACAGCTAGGTTCATGTTCTTTTACTTGATGGAAGAAAAAAACAAATAGTAGATTCAAGAAATAGACTTTTCTTGGTTATTGATGATAGGCAAGACCTCATAATCTATTTTAGTCTCCTGGTGATTGTATAGGTAGAACATGATGGTGCAGTCCTAGCCCTTTAGCAGTTATACTTTTAAGTACCTCTGACTTACTGTTAGATACTTGCCCTGCATCTTGCATCAGACAAGTTGCCGTTTTTCCTTTATGAGGACTTTTATGGCTGTATAATGAACAGTCAGGCCTCACTGGCTGCCACTGCTGCATTAGGGACATCACTAAGGGCCATCATGACATCCTATGGGCTGGGGGCTGAAGATCTAGGGAGACGAACTGCAGGGAGCAGACTGAAACCAGCAAGGCACAATTAGGCCCAGCATGACAGCCAGCCCTAGGGAGGAGGCTCGAGGATGTTACAGTATGGGGGCAGTGGCGGGAGCTGCTGTCAGCACCTGCTCCAGCCCATCTCCCAGCCACCTTGTGACTGCTGTGGCTGCTGGCGGCACTCCAGTGCCCAGCACGCTGTCTCTAGCTGCTGGGAGCAGGTCATTTCCCCAGCTCTCATATGTCTGGGGGGGAAGCATTGGGTCCCTTGGGCTCTCCAGGGCCTGGGACATGCATGGAAGACATCCCCTCACTTAAGGAGCTGGAGCAGCTCCTCAACACTGGGCGGCCTTCTTGTAACCATGTTGATGAAGTGTGGCCTAATCTCTTCTTGGGAGACCTGTAAGTACAGTTGCACAGAATGACTGAGCTTTAATGCCATTGCTTTACATTATGCTTCTCCGGCATATTAGTGCCCCTTATTGATGTGGCAGTAGGCAGCTCATAGTTTTGCTGACTGATGTCATTTACAGTGCAGACTGCAGTTTCTGATATAATTTTATGACGGATTTGATACTTAGTTCTCGTTTATTCCTTGGAAATTGTGCACTGGTTTATGTTGAGTAAGAGATGCAATCGCTGTGCTGTTCCTGCCCTGTGAGTATCTCTGTACCAATCTTAATTTGTTTATGTTGGTCTTCCTCTTAGAGTAACAGCTCACAACAGATTTGTTTTGTGGAAGATGGGTGTTACCCACGTTTTAAATGCTGCCCACGGCACAGTGTACAGCCACGGAGGCCAGGACTTCTATGGAGCTACCATTGATTATTATGGTGTGCCAGCACATGACCTCCCCAGCTTTGACATAAGCCAGTTCTTTTTCTCGGCAGCAGAATTTATCCACAAAGCCCTGAACACACCAGGAGGTATAGAATGATCATTGTTCACATTTGTATGTGTGTTGGCAGCTTTTCATAACCAGTCAGGCCCACGAGCTCACTGGTGCACAGGTCAGTACGTAGCCTACTGCCTGTACCTGCATGGCTGTGCAGGTGAATAGCTGCAGCTTGGCTCCAAAACAGCAAGAAAGAGTGAAAAGTTGATGTGAGAGAAGGACGAACAGTGGCTGAGAGAGGCAGAGTAGAGAGGAAAGGAGTTAGAAAGAAGAGAGAAATATCAGGAGGGAAAGACCTGTTCACAGAGAAGAATAAAACATGTATCTGATATGGAAGCAATCTTATCTGGTCTAGTCTTTTGACACCCTCTCGTGGCAACTGTATTTGTCATAATAAATGAATAGGAAGATGACAATTCTGATTTCTTAAGCCACCACCCATGTGAAGAGGCTCACACACTGTGAACGATCTTCCTGTGAGAACAAGGCCTGCAGGGCTGTGCTCCCAGGGAGGAGATTCACCTTTACCCAGGGGAATTTACAGTGTGTTGCAGAGGAGACTGAGCGTCTTGGCACTGGTGCTATAAAACACTAATATGCATGTATTACATAAAAGACTGTTCCTTAGCATGAGTAAACTGGCATTGATGGAGCTCTTTCTCACAAAGAGAAATACAGCCACAACAAATCGACTTATTACTTAATGATGCTAGGCCAGTCATCTTTCTTGGTGGCTGATGTGTCAGTGCCATCCTTTCAGGCCAGGCTGCAGCATTCTTCTTCACCTAAGTGAGCCTTTCTGAAAGCACTGGGTCTGGTTTTCCTCTTGCTCACAGTAGAGCAACATCATTGCTTTGGTTTTTAACTAACCAGTGTTTCTGAAATCAGATTGTAACCTCATAACACTGCTCATACAAGTGAATAGAACAATTGCAAATTAGACTTAACAGTTAGCAGTTCATCTCTTTTTGGACTAGGTGATCTTAGTGGTCTTACCCAACCTTAATGATTCTATGATTTTATAATTCTATTCTATGATTCATGTCTATTGGAAGGGTAAAAAATAAATTGTTTGCTGTGTAATCGTGACCAAACTGGAGAAGACAGGACAGAGTTGCCTTCTCTTTTAGTTTAAAACTTCATCCACCATACTGCTCCTCTTTTATGGTTATAATTTGCCTTTCTTCTTTTTTTTTTTTAAACTAGCTAAAATTTTGGTACATTGCGCAGTTGGAGTAAGCAGGTCAGCATCTCTAGTCCTAGCATATCTCATGATAAATCACCACCTGCCATTGATTGAAGCCATCAAAACAGTGAAGGAGCATCGATGGATTTCACCCAATCGTGGCTTTCTGAAACACCTGCGAAATTTGGACATTCAGCTACGGCAGAAGAAGGGCTGCTGAAAGGGCAAAACCTTTGCATATGCTTTTCTGAGTTTCAGCTTTGAGAACCACTGTGCACACACTACTTCCCAGGATCAGTACATATTAAACAAAATGAAGAAAGCTATGCATCAAAGTAAAACAACAAACAAAACCCAACAGAACTGTCAGTGGGTACATTCTGGCAGCTGACTTCCTCCAAGACGAGCACTGCCAGAATCAGCCCCTAAGCACTACCTGCTACAGAGCTGTTGTGCACAGTGTGATCATACCAGAGGGCTCCACTGGAGCTGTGAAGATGGACTGAAGTTGTTCTTGATCTGTGCTAATGCCAGAGGCAAGTTCAATAATTGCATCTAGCAGTACTGTATGTTTGAGTCCCCTTTTCTCAGGAGTGTAACAACACCATCTTCTTCAGTTTGGTTACAGTTTTCATCAGAAAAGCTTGTTGCATTGCAGGCCTGGTGATGTGATAAGGACAATTTCTTTGGCCCTTGTGCTCTGCTGCATACACCTTTGTCTTTTATGGATCTCTTAAATATTATGCTGCCACAGAGAACTCTGACATATCAGTGGAATAAACTTCTGCGCAGCTCTCTAAGTGGTCTAAGGGTCAGCAAACCCACAAGTTTTTCTTATGTACATATGTTGACAGCAAGGCACTATATATGATGTTGTGTATTGAGGATATTGAAAAAGAAGACAGATTTTTAAGATACTTTGTAAGCATAAACTCATTAGTTCTGTGTAAGTGGCTTTGAATCATCTCTGTTTTAATCAGGTAGGAAACCTAGGCGTTCATCATTACGAGGGAGCTACAGGCATACATTTTCCTGTGTTTGCAAGCTCTTGCCCACAATAAATGTAGATTGCTCTAAGGGCCTTTGAGATGTCAAATCCATGAAAGAAGCTGGTAAGGAGTAATTTCGGCTTTAAGCTAATAAAGCACTTACTTTGCAGCATCCCTCTGCTCCTTTACCCCTCAATCTGCAAGCAGGCTGCTGAGCACCACACTCAGTGACTGCACCCTTGCCCCAGCAACTTGAACCTGAGCAAAGACATTGCCCCCCATTGCCTGTACTCAGTTCCTTACAGCTTCCCAAGTTTAAGCTGAAACATAAGCTGGTCTGACTTATTTCTTCTCAAAGGATTAGTCCAGAACTTGGAAGGAAAAAAGCATCAAAGACTCAGGAAGTCCAAGTGTTACTTTCCATCCACCTCTGAATAAGGGTGCTGACTCCTTACTGCAGTGTCTTGTCTACATTCCAAATTTCAAAACTTCAATTAAAAATAAGCCTAAAGCCCAGAAAGTCAAATCCCCTCCTGCCTAAACACTCTTTATTTGATTCAAATTCATCCTGTATTACTGTTTTTTAAATTCAGCAGGGAGCCGAATTAGCTTAAGTCAATAGCTACGCTTAATTGATACAAGTTAGTTTTAAGCTGTTTTGAGGCTGTCACTTTTCCTATCACCAGTTAATCAGTTACTTAAGCAACTTGATTTTTAATACAGGAACAGCATTTGCAATTCATGCTACCATTCTACCTGAAAATTACCTTGTTACCTTGTGGTGAACCATGAAGCAATAATTAAATCTGTTTCTGCCCTTTGCTACTAGTTTGATTTACTGATTAGCTGCCCTTATGAACTTTCGCTACCAGATTGAGTAAATACATTTTTGCATGCTTGTTTGCATTTGAAGCATCAGGTCTCATTATTTCCCTTCTACTGGAGGAGGCTTGCAAAGATTATTAGAAGGCATAAGTAATGGTGACTTGTGGATTGTAATTCTTCCTTCCCAGACCCCTATTACCCTGAATTCTTGAAGAGGCTCTTGAAGAGATATGGATGCTGATTCTGCCTAGTGGTTATGGGAATGCAACATAAGCATGAAGATCCTTTCAGAAGTTTATTCAACTGTCTGTTCAGATTTTCCTAAGTCTTGCCAAGGAGTTCCACTGGCAAGAGAAAGAGAAAACTTTGTAATGTAAAAAATGATCAAATAGAAAATTGCATTTAAACCCCACCAGTGCTAACATAATCTTTATACCTCACAAAGCAGCAGAGCAGTGGAGGAGGAGCTGGGTTTGCTTTGAAGTTCTCCATTAGAGATAGGATTTACATGAGTTAACATTTCAATATAATTTATACTTCATTCACATTACAGTAGATTTCAGTCTGGAAGTCTTTTGAAGACATGTCACTGAAAAGTCTGAAATTCACGTGAGTGAAATAAAGCATCTTAATGGCTTTAGGCTGGGCAAAATTAGACACATATGAGAAAGATTGATGGAACCTCCCATCAGGATAATGCTTTGTGTGCCCCTGAACATCTGTCCCACAAAGCCACAGCTGTGAAAGCTGCTCCCGTTGTAGATTAGTACCTGCTCTCTTACGTGCTGTTCATCCTATGAGGGCATTGTTTCACAAGGAGCAGAGTAGTGTTGAGTGGAGCCAAGCCAGTATGGCATCCATGCCACTAATGATATGGCAGTGATTTTGTACAGCAGGACTGGCATACCCCAGTGGATGGAATAAATTGCTTAGGAACTCTTTTTCAAGGGCGCTGGCAAGTCACAGAAGTGTTTTAAATCTGCGAAGGTAGTGTTGCCTATATTTCCTGTCTGCCTGCATTGCTCCTTTATTCTGTGCACCGTTGGCTCCCGCTCCACGCAGGGAAAAGGATTCATCAACAAAAGTAGTAAAATTAGTCCTGTAACCTCTTGAAACAGAAAACACTATCTGCTGTGGCTTGATAGGAAGAAAAGAGACCTTCTCCCTGGTCCCTTACTCTGTCCATAGTGATGGGATGTGACATTAGTACTTCCCCTTTTCTACTGTCAGCAGAAAAAAATTGCATTTTGAATTTTGGTTTGGAGAGTTATGCTGAGGATCGCAAACAAATGAAAAATACTGCCTCGCCAGCAGCACTTTGTTTGGAATATGCACATGTCAACAGGGGATGTACGATGAGGAAAACTGAAGGTGCTGAAAGGTGCTCCTCATTGAGGGAGGGCCCCACTCTGGAAGATGTTTAGATTCCTGAATGCAAGCTCAGTGCCTGCTGAACTAACCTGAGCATGCAGGCTCACCCATAGGGATCTCCTTACCCAAGATCCCACAGGTACTGTCAGTGTTTCATCCTCTTGAGACAAACAGGCACACAGGCCTTCCTGCCTAGGCTGGCCTTTCCTCAATATGGTCATATATATATATATATATATACATATTCAGTATTTTTCTAAAGAATGCACTTGACAAAATCCACAGCAAGGTTACCCGGGATGCTGCAGGAGGTAGAAGTTTACAAACATTAGAGGACTAATGGGAAAAATTGTGGAGCAGAAATTTGCTCAGGGTTACGAAATACACAGAAACTCCAATGAGACCTGGAAGCTCATGAGCTGGAGGCTGGGAGAGCATTAGAAAGTGGTGTATCTCACACTTGTGCAGTCTCATTTTCTGTCTGCATCAGCTTACAGCCACAGGCAGACACAAGGACAGCGAATTCAATGGGTCTGTGTGGAGACCCACAACAGCTGCTGCTCTCATGGCCTTTATTTTGAACTCGCCTCTAACAGGAGCCATCCCATTTCCCAATGGTTTATTATTAGAACTGGATCACATGAGACACTGGAGACTGTGTCTCCACTGCACTGACCAACATTTTTTCTGTGGGGAGAACTCTGTGCTGGCAAGCACAGCAATACTGCTTCTGTGGGAAGTTGTGGGGGTGGTTATTTTTTGGTAAAACTTGCTTTGGTAAAACTTAAAGCAGAACTGTTATTTCTGTGGGTGCTCCCGTTCACAGGGGAGGCAGCACTCAGCCCGCTGGGGGACCTGTCAAAGTGCACGTCACTATTAGGGACAGCCACCTGTTGGGGACCATCAAGTGAAGAGAATGCTCCAGCAACAGCACCCCATGTGTGGCTACCGATGGGCCACTGCCTGGGGATGGTCAGACAGCCAGCCAGGAATGCAGCGAGTCCAGCGTTCCTGCAGTCCAAAAACTGCAAGGTGGAATCAAAGCACGTGGGTGAAGAGCAGCCTGAGCTCTACACAGGCTGTATGTAAGTGCTATTTGAGGCTGAAGGGCTAGGAAATGCAGCTCTCATTAACACTTGCTGTCCAACTATTTAGTTAGCGCTGTTAAGCTCAGTTGCCTTAAAATAGCCTAAGCATAGAAGAAAGCAAAGGGACTGCTCATTAAAGGAAAAACAAAACACATTACAATGAATTAAAAAGAGAATAAAATTCTCTTTAATAATTTCCATAAATTAAAAATTATAGACTAAAAAAAGATTTCCTAAATGCTGCAATGTGTAACACATAGACCTCAAGGACTAAAAATTTAAAAAAATAAAATAATGAATGGTGGGAAGAAATGTATAGATAACAACAGTGTGTACATGTAGTAAGTAACAGATGAACTTCCAGCTAACAGGAGTAAAAACATAGAGGTTTGCTAATGCAACAGGGAAGTTACAAAGAATCAAAGCCTACAATCAGCAAAACTGCAATTTGTTCATACTATCAATGGAGTTTTCTTTATTCTGCCAGCTTCTTTATTCTAACATCAATAAGATCAACAATGTTTAAGATTAACAACATTTCAGAGTTAGGTTTCATGGCATCTTCTGGAAGTGTGGAAGAGAGAGGATTTGGAATTAGGGCACATCCCAGTGCTAAGCAAAGTCAACAAGCAGGGATTGTTTCTGTACTGCCATCACTGTGCCACAGCTCATACCAAAAAACCCAAAAGCAGTACCACAAGCTGTCACTGCTCGTTTCTGTGGAACCAGCTATGTGCAGTTTCTCAGGAGCTGGATTAAATATCAGTCTAGAATTAAAGCTGTATTCCTTAAGGCATACTTTTCCTGATGGTTTTATCAGATATATGATAGTCAGCCTCTTTAAATGAGTTAAATATAATTCATCGTACACCGTGTACTATAACACATTATGTACTCTTCACTATAAGAAATAAATAAATAATAAAGTAGGAATGGCTGACTTTGCACAGCGTCCTTTATCCTGGAGGACTTTGAAGTGGTTAATAAATTGATTATTAAGTATGTATCTGTCTGTTAGCCATTGCTGGCACACCGGGCCAAGTCCCTTCAGGTTGAAAGGTGAAATATTTTTAAAAATGATACGCAATAAGTAACTCTGGGCCCAAGATGTAAAACGTCCTGCAGAAATTCAGCTTCACACTGAATTTTAAGCAGGCAGCTTTATCAGCTGAAGCTTAATCAGATTAGCAAGACTAATACTACGCCAGCAAAGGAACTCCACACAGTTGCACCCTGAGGCAAAATGGTTGCTAAAACCTGAGCAACAATCACACCTCAAGACCAGCTGTAGGACGACCTGAGCTACCCTGTGGACTGAATTTTTGCAAGGTGTTTGGGCCGCTGACTGTAGTCAAATGGAGTCTGTATACCTGTAAATTTACAAGAAGTTCCAGACAGGAAAGTGTACATTTTCTGCAGAAATCACAACCTTTTACCTTTCTTTCATTACTTTACTGTTTCTTACACGAGTCTCAAAATGCAGATGCTGGGGTCTGCAAACAGTAGCATTATGAGGTAATAAGAAAC